CACAAAATCTGAAATCATATTAAAGACTATTTAGGTTGATTTCATATACTATACTTCTCGTCCATTGGGCGAGTTATCTTTTTTTATTTCAGATCAGAATAAGAACAGAAGAAAACCCAATAACAAGACCCTTAATCCTAATTTCTAAATAAAGTGTCTGCTCCACCCTAGGCCTGTACATTTGGGAGAATCAAACCCTCCCTTTCCCGAAATTTAATTAAAGCCATGTTACAGATATTACTCATCACTATCCAGTATAAAATATGATGTTACATCTTTATGAAATTTTGGTATTCATTGGGTGTGGCCATGGGAGAAAGATGGGGTCTGGCTTTGAACTGAAAATTTCGACTCCAGATAGGCTTGTAAAAATGGTAAAATTTGCAAATTTCCACGGCGACCTGTCAAACTTTTGGTACCTTTAATCAAAGTTGTGACAATAATCAATGGAGGTCAGAAGGTTTTTTTTTTGCTGAATCAATCGCAAGGTCCACAAGTTAAGCTCTATCAGCTGGTACAGTTATAATCTAGATTACTTGCAAGCAATTACGATTAAGATTTTATTTTATATTGTTTTTAGTCTATTATATATTAATGGACTGTACACCATGCTGTAAGCATAAAATAATTAAATAATTATGAATCTTGATAAATTACCTCAGTAGTAGTTCCCTGGTCCATTTTACTGGTATCAATATGAAGTAATGTCTTTAGAGATATTTTACTCTGAAAAATAATGAGAAATATTTCTGTTTTTAAATAAGAATTAAGAAAAAGGGATTATTACTTACATTACTACACATAGTTGTTTCGTATAGCGATGGATTAAATAATTTAATAATAATTATGAAACATTGGAATATGTTCGGTAACAAATCCAGTTATAACCTTTTCAAGATGTCGCAAATAGTTTGCTTGTTATTTTGATATAAACTTCTTGTTAAAATCTTTGTAATTTTCTGAATGAATCACATGTTGNGAATTTGTTTAGCCCTGCTTTAGGGGTGCTTTTATTGGTATAATATAGTATGAAAACTGAACACAATTTAAAGAAGAATTTCATCAGATCATAACAAAAACTGCAGAAAAAAAAACTTTGAAATTGTCATTTAAATCATATCAGATGCTATTTTAAACTGACTAAGAACGCATTCCTTCATTATATTCAAAGACTAACCCTGAAAATTTCTAGCACTACCAGTTCCTGAGACATTATTATCGTGACAAAATCACATCCGTTCAACACGTCCGAGATACTGGTAGGGTTAGATTTGTCGAGATCATAAAGAATCAGTACAGTATCGGGTTAATAAGAACTTATACCTTCAGTACATTAGACACATTGTTTGTGCCATGTAAGTGCTATTTGTATACAGCCAATCACAGGACTCGACAGAAAGTTTGTGAACACAAAGCCATAATGCTTACAGTCTTTCTTTCGAGGGTTCTAATTAACTGTATTAGCTGGCGTATATAATAAAAAAGTATAATAAAATATTAGTGGTTATTACAGTCAAGATATAAATACGAGGTTCGTAATAACTTGACATTATGAAGATGATTAAGAACAAGCTAGTGTCATTTTATACAAACCGCTTCGTGTAATATACTGCCTTGTATCAATAAATATCCCATTTCTGTGATAAACATCAATGTGAATATGACGTAGACGGAGTACATTCCCAATGGCATAGATCCATAAGAAAGAGAATAAACTGCTAAACATATCGTAATAAAACTGCTGGTGAATAATGACGAGGAAAATGGCATGAAGAGATCGTCGACCTTTTCGACCATTCGACAAACCATTATATATCGTTTCTTGATTTTGACTATTGCAGTGAATTTAGAGCTTGTAACTTCGACCTTCTTCACTTCTTGATCACACCTACAGAATTCTCTTTTGATGGTGTTAACCAGTATGAGGTGCAGATATAAATAGGAAAATCGGTGTACGAAGTATGTAATTGACAGCAATAAGGTATACAGTGCGTTAATCCAGAGATAAACGTCATTTCCAAAGCTAGGTGAGTATATACAATATTTACCACTATGTGGATCATTTACAGCCACAAAGATAGTACAGAGTGTAATTACTACGGTTGCACTAATAATACAATTCTTTTTAACATTGTTAAGCTGATTGTTCTTGATGTTGAAGTAAGGATCCGAATTTATTTCATTCCAAGTTGATATACACGAATTCAATTTCTTCGGAAAATAAATAATTCCAAGAATAATGGTCAAAATTCCATGACACGAAGCTATGACGACAGTGAAAAAGAGTCCAAGTTTTTCTATTGTCGAGCTCTCATCTATAACGTAACACCATATTCCTTTCTGCAATGTCCAGATCCATATACTTAATTGGAACACCAGATAAAGTACAAAAACAATAACGTTTTTCTTTGTTATCTGGAAAGACTTACATGCCCCCGTTAGTGACAAAAATATTATCAAAGGTTTCAACTTTGATTCAATGTCCGCCATTATTTCTAAGATTACTGCTGTAAGTTAAACAATACACTGGTAAACCTATTCAATTCTCTATTAGTATTAATGGACTCTCTTTCAACTCGTTTATGGATTGGTGTTTATCATTAAACCAAATGAAAGTAACAATGTCATTGAAAAACTGAATACATACTGGTAGTTTTGTCAGTTCGGACATCTGAACGGGCGACAACCATCATTAGCATGGAATCGCATCTATTTTGAGTGCCCTGGTTATCCTGAAAAAAAGGTTCTATCATACTCTAGGTCATAAGCGAGATCCATATGTACCTCAGTAGTGAATTCGAAAGTCTCGGGGTGAAATTTGGAAAGAGGGAGAATTGAGAGTGAATTATATTAAAATAGTTGATTAAATGGGAATTATCCCTTACTGGGTATTAGCACAAATGGACCTAAATTTCTTCCCGTACAGTGCAAACGATTTATCATGAAAGTTCTTTGAAAGTTGTGTATTTGGCATCAATTTACGCAATTCAAATTTCAAATAGACATCTGTGTTTCTTGTAATTCCACTAAAACTAAGTATCACTAAACACTAAGGGCTTGTGATAAAGTATATTTTGCGATTAGTGACGTCTTCTTAGTTTTAGCTGAATTTCAGGACCCACAGACGTTAGACTGAAAATTGGAATGGTGTAAATTGAAACTATCAGTGTCCACGATACACATAAAAATTAACCATCGCTTTCACTGCCTTGTATTGACGAATGAGTTCAGTATAATAAATCACAATATATATTGAAACAGTGTCAGTAATTGATGTTTAAATTACTAATAGATAACACATTAGTTTATTTCAATACAAAATAAGAATTAAATAAATATTGCCATTGAATAAGCCTCCATTAACAGTTCTCGGAATGTAGTTTGGATATGAAAACAATTTTTTTATTCTCTTTCAGCAAATAGATGGTTTCCATTACCCTGTGGAAATATAAGTCATATCTATTTTGTGGGCTTTTTTAACTTTTCATCCTATTGATTCTGAATAATTCTATCATCTGAACATTTGTGCTAAAACGTTCTCGCTTTTGGAATAAACAATTGATCGTTTTAAACGTTTAACGTACGTATGAATAGTGGTTTAATTG